TATTCAAAAAGAAGGGGTTAATAGCACCTATCCCATTGCTCCCCTTCCAAAAAAAAAGTATTTTTGTGAGGATGGAATAATAATATATATCAACTCATTTACAAATCATATGGTATTTTGTATATGTCAAGTATTTTTATTAGGAGGGAGAATGAGCTAATGGAAGAAACCATGGTACCTGGGAGAGCAATAAATTTTGTATTGGGACCCCGTCTGGCGTGCAGGATCCTGGAGGTGGTCCTTTGCTAGGGAAGGGGGGGGCTGAGGCTCAAGGTCAAGCTCAATCTTGAAGCTACTCTTTGCTGATGGTGGTGGGAAAAGGGGCATACTGGGAAGAGCAGAGGCGATGGAAGCTTGCTTGGCAGGAAAAACTAATTGCTTTCCAAATCCCTAGACAGGAGTTGAGGATTTAGCATTCATCTCATTTTCATTTTAGGCATTCCCCTTCAACCAGCCTAAAGGCTAAATGTGCAGCTATACACAGAACAGCCAAGAGCTCCAAAGTAATTTGCACTAGGGTGTGTGTGTGAATCTATAAAATAAATGATTGAATCAGGGAACCTGAGATTTAGGGGTGGTAGCTGTTATGTAAGACTGTCTAAGGGGGATTCAGGGTGAAAAGATGCAGCATGGAACTATTGTTTGTTGAGTTTGCCCAAGCCAAACCAAGACCCTTTGCTCCAATTTCATAGTATCCAAGAGAACAAGTACAGGAATTAGCACCAGGGAGATTTCTACTTAAATGCTTAGCCCCAGAGTCAAAAACAGAGTGGGTGGTTAAGAGGGAAAAAACAGAGTTAAATATTTCCTCTGAGTAATGAAGAATGAACCGAGGCCAGGGCTATAATTCATGGGGCCTTAGATGAATCTCCAGCTGCTTCAGCTGTCTCTGCATCTGGGAGAAGATCAGCCAAGAGCTCCAGCAGTTGTGGAAGCCAGTGGATGATGGCAGCTCAGTCATTTAACACTCTCTGGGCCTTCCAGGGGGGCTTCTGGCTTCTTGAAGCCTGTGCCTTTCGATACCTTGCCTGCTTTGCCCACCTGTGTGGTACAGATTCCAAGAGAAGCAGATTAAACACATCTGGGATTTTTAGGGATCTTTGGTAAACAATGGTTAAGTCCTAAAGCTCAAAACATCATCAATTTGTAAATCTGTTTTCATGCTGCTTTGTAAAACCTGATTTAAATCCTAACACGGTAGGCCAACGATTTAGAATAGCTAATCTGGGGAATTGGGAGACTCTGCTAAGTCATTTCTCTGCCCATTAAAATCTTGCCCAGATCATAGTGCTTGTCCCTCCACCCTGTTTTTCTCCTTAATTATTTTCTCCTGCTTTGAAGAAATCCTCCAGGATGCCCGATTTCACAGGCAGGCAGAAGTCATCCTTGGTCCAGATGATGGTGGATGATCAGGATCTGAAAGAAGTGAAATCCAAACCTAATCCCTGTGGCTGCCTCCTTCTGGCCTGATGAGTTACCTTTTTGGGTTGATCTTCTACCTGGACCCTCCTGAACCCAGCTGGCTCTGCCAGGCAGTTAACACCTCCTCTGGGGACTGTCGTGGAAAATGGTATAAAAGGAAAGGAAGCCCTGGTTTTGATGAGTTTCTAGGCAAGTGTAGCTGCAGCCCAGTCTCGGGAAAAGGGATGACCACAATTATCAAAGGGCAAGCAAGTTCAAATGCACTCTGCCTATGCTGGAAATGGAATGCATATCTGCCAGAGGAACTAACAAAAAAAAAAAGAGCAACCAGAGCTGTGTGAGTGAAATCAAGTGGCTTCCTATAGGACGTGAGGGTTATATAGGCAGGCATGGATGAGGATGAGCGGGCATTCTGTAGTAGGAGGAAAGGTACATGCTGAAAGAACAGCTTCTGAGCAGAAGCACTGAAACTAATGAATTTAGCTAGAGCCAGGATTTCAGATGAAGAGTAAAGAGAAATGATTTCATGAGATGAGTGGAGAAGCTGGGTGAGTAGCCTTAGGCAAGTAACTTCCTCTCTCTGGACCTCAGCTTCCACACCTGTGAGCTTTAGGTACTGGGCTAGGTGGCTAGGGTACTAGGTTAGGTGACTAGGGTACTGGGCTAGGTGACTAGGGTGCTGGGCTAATTTTTTTGTCAGAGAGATGTAGAAATAAATAATTATGGGAGAAGTATGTCAGGCACTTACTCTATAAGAGAGTCATATTTTCATTGTGGAGATAAAGTATCTTGTCCAAAATTCTACAGACTAAGTGACCAAGCTGGATTAGAATTGGGTTGATTCATTTGCTCAGTATCTATGGAGCACCCCTGTGAGCCCAGCACTGTGTCAGGCCGTTGGAGATATAACAGTGAATGAGATGGGGAAGATCCTGCTCTCATTTTAACTTTGGGAAGTCAGTCAAGAAAAAAATAAAGATCAAAGTGAGCAAAATATGTTTAGATAGAGAGATAGAGGTAAATGCTAGTGGACAAGACAAAACATGCAATCATCGGTGTGACGTGGGACTTCTTAGATTGGGCGGCCTGGGAAGGCCCCTCTGAGGGGGTTGTTCTTGGGCTGAGACCCCGAGGCTGTGAAGAGGCCAGCCTAGTTGGTGAAGGACAGAAAGGCCAAGCTGGGGGTCTTAGACCTGTCAGATGGCCTGGGCCCCTAGTCATTCTCTGGGGGAAGAGCTGCTTTTTCTTTTCCTTTTCATTTTCGTACCTTGACAGGGAGGTGCTTTTTATTTCCCGAGGATCTTAAGATCACGGAGGGCAGGAGAAGTGAAAGCTCCATGGCAGTTGTGAAGTCCTACTATGGAAGTGGGACGTGGAGCCAATGCGGATGGTCCCGAGCGGAGCCGGAAGAGGACAGGCCCTGGAAAACTTCAGAAGGTGATGACAGCAATCAGCTTGGAGGACCTAGTGGAGGCGGCTAGCTCTAGTAGTAGTAATAATAATAGCAAATAAGAATATCAGCAGTACTGTTAGATCATGTTTAAGGAACTTTAAAAATATACCTAGCATTGCCCAACACTTTGGAATTATATATTAACTCATTTAGTCTGGGAGGTGGATAGAATTCTTACCCCAATTTTAATAATGAGAAAAGTGAGGCTTAGGGAGGTATAGTGACTTACCCAAGACTGCACCGCTAAGATCTGGTGGAGGCATGCACATAGGGTCCTCTGACCACGGGCTCTTAACCACTGTACTCTGTTCTCTTCCACGGGCCTCAATCAGTCATGTAATATTTGACCTGGTTGCCATCTTAGGTATTACCAAGACCGCAGATTTCTGATGCAGTCCTCTGGCTGAAGACCTCTGAGACAGGGTAATCCCTTCTCTTTTGACAGATGAGGAAAGGCAGAGTCTGAGAATCAGATCAGTGATAGAATTGGAGTGCCCATCCTGAGTCTCACCTCTTCTCAAGTGCTCGGCATATCCCCACATCCTCAATTCCTAGTTTGGAACCCCTGGTGAAGGTGATTGGATGATGGAACTACAGGTTTCCAAGAGAGGACAGTCAAGCATTAAATACGAGAATGCGCATATAACTCTTGGTGCAATGTTTAGTACATACTAAGCCTGCAATACATGCCAATCCCTTTGAGCAAATCTACATGGCCAGCTTCTGTGCTCAGGGGTGGGAACAGCTGGGCTGTGATTGGGGCAGGGGGAGCAATAGGTGGGGAGGGGACTTCCTCTCCCTGGGCCTACCATCTTGTCTGATGTGCTGCGGCCCTTGCCAGAACCCGTCGGTCAGAATGAAAGTAAAATGTCATTGGAAACCTTGCAATCTACCATTAAAACTGCTGGGTGTAGTAAAACAATTGCTTGCCCCAAATAAATGACTTATTCCTGTTGGTTGTCTGCATTTCTCTTTAATTACAGGCCCTCTTTGAACGCTCAAACACACAGGGCCTTTGTAAACTTGAACTCCCTCTCTCACACACAGTCCTTCATGCACATACTCTCCCTTTCATTTACAGAGTATAAACACCCGTCTCACTCATGCACATAATGAATTTCTTCTCCTTGCATCCCAGTCAGGGAGCGGCCCCACTAGAATTGCGGGCATGTAAGCCATCTTCATGTTCCAAGGCCCCAGGGGTACTTCCAAGAGTGGATCCTTTATGGGAAGAAGACAATGGGCAAAAAGTGCTCTTCGCTGATGGACCAGTCCCAGCCTTTTCTCTTCTTGGACAATAGAGTTGTTTACTTGAACAGCCACTTCCCTAAAAAAATTTCAAAATTCTCCCACATCATCCCCTTTATGCTTAAAATCGTCACATACTCCCTTCTTTGTCCTCCCCTCTTGCAAACCCAACTCAGAGCCCTTTGGCTCTAGAAAGATTTTCTAGATATCAGGAGAGACTACCCAAGCCTCCTTCCTCTCCTTGGCCTTTCTTGCTTGTTAGAGAAAGAAGTCAATTCTGCAGAGAAGTAAGAAGGATCTTGAGGTCTAGAGCCTAAAAGGCTCCTCGGGCTGTTCTCCAAACTAGACGGTAACATAAAGTGCGATTGTGTCTTCTCCACCTGATACCCACTCAGTCTCCTAGGCCAGTCCCCAGTTCAGGGTTTGGTCAAGGCTCAAATGGGATAATTTCATGGAGGAACCCCAGCCCGGTTTTTCTACTGTCTTACTGGAAGACGGCCTCTTCCTCTTGTACCTGCAGCCCCAGCATCTGCTGTCTGCATCCCCTCTAGGCAGGTAGCTGTGTAATGAGGGCTCATCTACCTGTCCCAACCCCCGGCTCTGATTTGCCTATTCAGGTGGTGTAAATACTTCCACCAGGACCTATTTCAAGTCATTACGATGTCCCTGACTGGGGAGATACAGGGAGCACACCATTTACTGTTTCCCCTACATTTTCACCTCACTCTGCTCTCTTCTGGGAGTTGCTGGCTGTCTCGGAGGGTTGGTGGTTCTGGTGGCTCAAGACCACAGGTAATTATCAAATACTTAGGAAGCGATGTGTTTTGAGCACTTTTACCTTTTAAAAATGTGCTTTGTGGCTAGGCATGGTGGCTCACACCTGTAGTCCCAGCACTGGGAGGCTGAGGTGGGTGGATTGCTTGAGCTCAGGAGTTTAAGACCAGCCTGGGCAACATGGCAAAATCCTGTCTACCAAAAATACACACACATACACACAAATACACACACACACACACACAATTGGCCTGGTGCAGTATTGTGCGTTTATGGTCACAGTTACTTGGGCGAGCGAGGTAGGAGGATAGCTGGAGCCAGGAGGCTGCAGTGAGCCATGATCACACCACTGCACTCAGCCTGGGTGACAGAGTGAGACTCTGTCTCAAAGTGTGGGGAAAATAGATATGTATACACATATATAATTGTTAAGTGTGTTTAGTTTTTTACTAATGTCTGTGATTAACAGCTGGCTGGCCAGATTCCTGAGAACGGAACAGTTTGCCCCAGGCCATCCAGCTTGTCATGGGCCCAGGGCAGAACTTGGGAGTAGGCGGTCCTGGGTTCCAGAAGGGCTCCCATGCCCCTGTCTTATTGTTCTGTCAACAGGACATTTACGGGGGGAGTTGTTGATTCTGGGTCTTTTAGGGGACTCTGTGATTAAGAAACAGCAGGGATGTTGCAACAGCAGGGATGAGGTGGGCCTGGGGAGGCTTCAGTGGCGGGTCTTCATTCCTAGCTGCTGACCTGGTCTGCCTTGAGATAAAGGCTAAGACCCAGAGAGCGGACCATGTCCGAGGGGTCAAAGCGACTAAGCCGTCGGGGCAGTGGGGCATAACCGAACGCGAAACGCCAACCGAGACTGAAGCACGGGTTTCTCGGGCCAGCCCACGCCTCCTGCCTCAGCTCAACGCCACTCCCTCCCCGCCAAGTGGCTCTCCGCTCTGGAGGCGGGACCGAGCTCTCTGGTGGCCCCTGGAAGCTCGCGGCGGAGAGCTCTGGGAGGCTGGGAGGGGAGTGAGGGGAGTGAGGGGAGGGGCGCGGACTGGGCAGTCCAAAGAGAAGGGGGCCTTTAATAGGCTCGTCCGGCGCCTGGCTTGGCTTGCTGCGCTGCGAGTGGCTGCGGCTGCAAGAAGCCGCCCGGCACCTCCCGCTAGTTCTGCGCTGCAAATCCTCGTCCTTGCACTTGACAGCGATTGTACTTAAGCTCCCAGGGCGCGCTTTGCTTGGAAAGGCACAGGTAGGAAGCGCGGGCTGCCGGGTGCACGCTCGCAGCCCTGGGAGGAGCCTCCCTCCCGTGGCTCTCCTTTCTGGGAGCTGCCGGCTGTCCCGGAGCGTTGGCAGTTCCAGAGTGCCGGCTGCAAGGAGACCGTGTCCGCGGCCGGAGAACCCGGCCCAGCCCCTTCCCAGAGCGCGGCGGTGCGCTGCCAGAGGCGCCATGCTGCTTCTGGGCATCCTAACCCTGGCTTTCGCCGGGCGAACCGCTGGAGGCTCTCAGCCAGAGCGGGAGGTAGTGGTTCCCATCCGACTGGACCCGGACATCAACGGCCGCCGCTACTACTGGCGGGGTCCCGAGGACTCTGGGGATCAGGGACTCATTTTTCAGATCACAGCATTTCAGGAGGACTTTTACCTACACCTGACGCCGGATGCTCAGTTCTTGGCACCCGCCATTGCCACTGAGCATCTGGGCGTCCCGCTCCAGGGGCTCACCAGGGGCTCTTCAGACCTGCGACGGTGCTTCTACTCCGGGGACGTGAACGCAGAGCCGGACTCGTTCGCCGCTGTGAGCCTGTGCGGGGGGCTCCGCGGAGCCTTTGGCTACCGAGGCGCCGAGTATGTCATTAGCCCGCTGCCCAACGCTAGCGCGCCGGCGGCGCAGCGCAACAGCCAGGGCGCACACCTTCTCCAGCGCCGGGGTGTCCCGGGCGGGCCCTCCGGAGACCCCACCTCTCGCTGCGGGGTGGCCTCGGGCTGGAACCCCGCCATCCTGCGGGCCCTGGACCCGTACAAGCCGCGGCGGGCGGGGTTGGGGGAGAGAAGCAGCCGGCGCAGGTCTGGGCGCGCCAAGCGCTTCGTGTCCATTCCGCGGTACGTGGAGACGCTGGTGGTGGCGGACGAGTCAATGGTCAAGTTCCACGGCGCGGACCTGGAGCATTATCTGTTGACGCTGCTGGCGACTGCGGCGCGACTCTACCGCCATCCCAGCATCCTCAACCCCATCAACATCATTGTGGTCAAGGTGCTGCTTCTCAGAGATCGTGACTCCGGGCCCAAGGTCACCGGCAACGCGGCCCTGACGCTGCGCAACTTCTGTGCCTGGCAGAAGAAGCTGAACAAAGTGAGTGACAAACATCCCGAGTACTGGGACACCGCCATCCTCTTCACCAGGCAGGTGAGTTGATCTGCGGTCACTTTGCACCCAGATAGCCCTAGCCCTGCTAGGGTCACCTTCCCTAGCATTCCAAATCCCCTTTGTAACGTGCGATGCCCCCGAGTTTAAACCTCTTTGATCTCTTCCGACTCCAATTCTGGAGTTTCCAGGGAGAGACCTCTCCTAGGCTCCGCGGAGCGGCGGCTCACGTGCATCTGGGCCATTGGAGTAGAGCCTGCGCTTTCCGAAGGTGTTGGCCTGGCGCGGCCAATCAGCGCCTCCTGGATCAGGCGCCAAGGGGCCGGAACCCAGGAAGTTGCCGCCCCGGAGCCGCAGTTTGTGTCCAAGGCCGATAGGAGACGCTCTGAGGAAGGTGTTGGAGAGGGCAGAAACGGCCCGCCCCTATTGCATGGGCGGCCGAGTCTTCTCTGACTCCTTCTGAGGTCTCCTTTCAAGGGTTGTAGAACTGGAAGGTAATCCAAGGTCAGCGCCTGCTACATTTCTCTCGGGTAACATGTTGTTTTCTCTCTGTACTGGGCCTGGAAAGCCCGGATTGGGGTGGACGGAATCATTGAGATATTTTGTGGGTTGCAGTGACAGGCCAGAAAGTACTGTGAGCATCCCTCCTTCACTGCCGCTTCTACAGCCTTCTCTGCTGGGCCTGGCCCAAGAGGCTTCCAGACCATTCTGAGCAGGCAGTGCAGTTAGGGCACCCGTCTGGAGCTGGGACTGTTTCACTCGGAGTTTCAAGTAGAGTTTCACTTGGAGCTGAGTTGGGAAAATCTCTTCCAATTTTCCTGTATCCTTGCTGTCAGAGGGTGACCCGTTTGCCCAGATGTATACTACAGAGCAGAGCAGTCACGGTTGCTCCTGCTCCCAAGTCACTAAAATTCCTATGACCGCACTTGACTTCAGGGCTTCAGCGTCTGCCCTTGCTGGGGTGGAAGTGGTGTGAGCTTAGTCAAGAGTATTTGGAGATTCCAGCTGTAGAGTTAGAAGGAAACTGAGTATTGAGATTAGAAGGATGGACCCAGACCAGGAAGCAGCCCTGCCTTTTGCAAAAACTCTATGTCAAATAATTCTATGTCAAAGGAGCAATAACTGTGAGCATTTAGATTCACAGGTATTGGAGTGATTGGGTACTGTGGAGTATTTGGATTATTGAAATTTCTCAGACACAGGAGGCTGGGAAGAGAAGGGCCATCCAAGTGAGCTGCTGCTTCTGATTTGGGGGGCTGTGACTTGAATCTGTGCCATGCTCTTTTTTTGTTATTATCATAACCACAGCATTCTGGGGATGGCATGAAATCCTTGGTTACCTCTTGGGGCTCTAACTTTCCACTGTTTCCAAATGGTCACTCAAAGTTGGACTGGTGCACACAGGCTGGAGCTGGAGTCTTCCACAGTAACCCATCTGGCACAGCTAGCCCCTTCCTGGACTTGAACTTCCTCCTTTCCCAGCCTTCTTCTCCTCCCGCCACCTGGTTTCTCTAGGGAAGTATTTGGCCTGAGTCTGTTTCCTTGTGCTCATTCTTCCAACTGAGGTCTGCTGCGCTGCCACTGCCCAGCCCCTGCAAGCACTGCCTGACTCACGGGGAAGCTGCAAAGGAGGTGGCTTCGACCTCTGCACACAGACCTGCTTGGCAGTTAGATTGCTGGGGTTTGAAATAAAGCAAAGGCCAAGAACAGGATATCTTAATGGGCAAAGCAGCTGTTGCCCCATCCACTACCTGGGCTGACCCAGTAAAGGTCGCTCACTGGCTGCAAAACAAAAGACCTCAGCGTCTGCAGCCTAGTAGTGAAGGCTGGTTTCTGGAGTCAGCCCTAAGAAGAGAACTCCTGCTGGGAAAAGGGACCGTGCCATCAGAAGGAGCCCGCCTTTTGAAGAAGAAGCAATCAAACAGCTTGACAGCTTCTATTTCTCAGTGGTGTGTGCTCAACGCCCCGAGGGCTGTGTTGTCCGTGCATAATGGGTACAAGATGCATGACCACTGGGTCAGAAGCAGTGATGTGCAAGATGTGACTTTTAGAAGCTGCCTTCCCCTTAGGCGTCTAGAGAGCAAATCCTGAGTGGAGCTTCAGTGTTGGCAGGGCCGCCATCAAGGTATGTACTTTACGCTTTAGAGTAAACACCTCTCCCCCACCTCCTCACCAGCTCAGACTACATTCTGAGAGTCTCAGGATCTTCTCAGTCCTGAACTCTCTGGGAGAAGGTACAGTATTCGATAAGAACAGGAGCGAGTTGCTGCTCTTTCTAAGATTAAGGTAGCTGCAGTCCCCAGAAACCATAACTGTCCGGAAAGGGGAATACAGTGGTTATACAAGAAGTATTTCGACAATTTGAGGAGTTTACTTAAAGATTCAGAATAAGTTCATGGAGAAAAGTGCACATCTGATTTTGCAAAGTGATCGGCCTCCAGGCTCATAACAGCAGGGTGAGGTCAGCACAGGACTGGAACCAGAACCCGTGAAGAACTAGAGCCAGAGTCTTTCTCATTTATTTCTAGGAGGAGAAAAGTTTCTTTGGTTTCTTGTTGCATTGGGTGTTAGGAGCCAGGTACTTAATGATGAGGCTCGGTAGGCCCTCATTTCCTGAGACTTCTCTGTCTTTAGGTCCAATAACTGCCGTTTGGGTAACCCTTTGTGGTAGAATGGCTTTCATTCATTTATTTGTACTCTCTTTTAGTACTTGTTGAGCATTATTTATTATTATTATTATTTGTTTTCATTTTCTACACTTTTATTTTGTGGTGATTGTGAGACAAACACAGTCTTCTTGTCCTGCCCTCCCAACAACTATCTGACTCCATAGCTCGTGCACCCCATTACAGCAGGTGTCAGGCTGGCATAAAGGCTCCTCACCAGGATTCCAGTTTATCCTTCTCAATCTTTTTCTCATCTCTAACAAAAATGCCACTCGAGCATGATTTATTATTATTTCTAGGTACTACGCTGGGCTGTGGAGCTACAAATAGTAATCAAATGTGGCCTAGGCCGGGCGCGGTGGCTCACACCTGTAATCCCGGCACTTTGGGAGGCCGACGCGGGCGGATCACGAGGTTAGGAGATCAAGACTATCCTGGTCAACACGGTGAAAGCTCATCCCTACTAAAAATACAAAAATTAGCTGGGCATGGTGGTGCGTGCCTGCAGTCCCAGCTACTCGGTGAGGCTGAGGCAGGAGAATTGCTTGAACTGGGGAGGCGGAGGTTGCAGTGAGCCGAGATGTCGCCAACTGCACTCCAGAGACTCCATCTCAAAAAAAAAAAAAAAAAGTGGCCTCCGGTCACCAGGAATTCACCTTGTAATAGGAGCTTACAAGACAACGACTAATTTCAATAGGATGTACTAAGTGCCAGACCAGCCCTGTTGGGAAGGAGGGGCGTTCTCCGGAATGCAGAATGCGAAGCTGTGGAAGCACTCCAAGGGGTGGGAGCAGGAAGGGGAGCGGGGGCTGCAGAGGGGAGCTGCTTCCTATGTCATCAGATGCACTCTCCTCCGTTTCACTGTCTGCTTTGCTATCTGTGACCTTTCTTCCTTTGGATTGATTTTATTTTTTTTAAGGACTTGTGGTTTATGGTTTTACTGTCTGCTTCTTCATTTATTTCTAGAATTTTCTTTCTTTTTTTTTTTTTTTAGAGACAGGGTTTCACCATGTTGGCCGGGCTGTTCGCAAACTCCTGACCTCAGGTGATCCGCCCACCTCATTCTCCCAAAGTGCTGGGATTACAGGCATGAGCCACTGTGTCTGGCCTGCTTCTTCTTTATTTCTTTATTTTGTTTTAGGACTTGTATTTTATGGTTATTCTGTCTGCTTTTTCATTTATTTCTTTATTTTTTAGAGACAGGGTCTCATTTTGTCACCCAGGCTGGGGAGCAGTGGTGGCGTCAGCTCACTGCAGCCTTGAACTCCTGGGCTCAAGCGATCCTCCCACCTCAGCCTCCTGAGCAGCTGGACTACAGGCCTGTGCTACTGTGCCCAGCTAATTTGTTTCTGTACAGACAGGGTCTGACTATGTTAACCAGGCTGATCATGAACTCCTGCCCTCAAGGGATCTTCCTGCCTCAGCCTCCCCACATTTTGGGATTACAGGTGTGAGCCACCATGCCTGACCTCTGTCGTATTCTTTGTGAGACCATTTTTAACTAAAAATTTCATTTTTAAAGCAGATATATATTGAAGTGTTCTTGAGTGAGCTTTGGTCATTTATATTCTTCAAGAAATGTTTCCATGTCATTTGAATTATAAATTCATTGACAAAAAGTTGCTTATAATACTGTCCACTGCCTTTCCCAGCTCAGCCTCCCAAGTAGCTGGGACTACAGGTGTGTGTCACGCAGCCTAATGAAAAATATATTTTCTTTTTTTGGAGACGAGGTCTTGCTATGCTGCCCAGGCTGGTCTCAAACCCCTGGACTCAAGTAATTTGTTTGCCTTGGCCTCCCAAAGGCAAATGGTCCAGACCGAACAAATGGTCCAGAATAGGTCCCCAATTATGGCAGTTTATCATCCTACCTTAGTAGCCACTCAGTACATGTTTCTTGTTGAATAATTAGCTACAGAGCCCTTGCCAGACTATATAATATAATGCTGAGATTATAGGCGTGAGCCACTGCGCCCTGTCTATTTTGTTCATTTTGTTTTTTCCTGTTGCCTCTTAGTGTCATTTGATGCGATCTCTTTTCCCTCTCTTCTCACTCTTCTTCCACGCTCTAGCCTTCTTCTTTTGGGACCATCCAGGTAGGATCTTTGCCATCTTTCTCTTCCTCCTTATTCCCTTCTTTTGTACTCTGACTTTTCCCCTCTCCCAACCCCAAGCTTGGTGCTATCTTCCTGTTTTGACCTTGAGCAGTACTGTGTTTCACTGGGGACGTCCTACACTGCGCAGAGTGGAAGAGCATTCTAGAACTGAATGTGAAGCAGACACCAGTTCTTTTGGTGATAAAGCACTTGCTGTAAGGCAGTGAAAGTTAGTGTTCCGATAAAAATAGTCAATAACGAAGTGATAAGACGTATGTTA